GGAGTTGTTATTTGATGCCAAAATAACTGAGGTACAATTTGAAATATCATCAAACATGACAGCTGGTCAACTTTAGCCGCAATAGGCCGATATCCTTAAGGTGGCGCAATATGACCTCTCTCCCCTGTAAGTTTGCAAAAATATACACTAAAACGAATGAATGTTTGATTTACCTGATTCACCTGAGGTGTTAGCCCTCAGCCCACGGAAAATGTTCACAGCCGCAGCAGCACACATATTAATGCAAGCAAATTCTTAACTTACCCATTATAAAATAAAAGCACATTTGACGGTATCGTTTGCTAAAGGGGCTTTCCCTTGCACCTACAATCACGACACATTCAGATTGTCGGAAATCCGTTTCCGTGCCTAAGGGAGCACCAACCTGTCCCGATTTAACACAGTCGGCCGTCGGTTGGGTCCACAAAGTTTCGCGAATTGGCACGTCAAGTTGATCCCGGCCGCTTTCAAACGGCGCGGCGAGCGGCCCCGGGCAAAGGCGGCCGCCCACGCCGGCCGCTATTTCGGGACACCCTAATAATACCACCGGGAGAGCAATCAGAACGTGCGAAAGGTCGCCACCGGCCGGCCGTTCGTCTGTGGCCGCAGACTTCAGCCTTCACGGCGGAAACAAATCGCTCCGCTGGCATTTCACCCGTTAGGTGATTGGGTCAGCAACTAAAAACAGGTCCCCCGTGAATGGATCAGAGCGGTATGTTGGAAAATGGAGAGCGAGCGTCATTTCATTGAGGGTAGCGTAACAATCGCATCTTGACGAGGTTCGAGGGCCGGCATTCGGCGGTCGTCTCGACATATGATCCCATTTTGATAAGCGGTATAATTAAAATAGATGGCAGAAATGTATACGCAAAATTAAAAATACCAGACGCATTTGTTGTAGCAAAAAAAAGCACCCCGAATCGCTGTACGCAGACAATGACATCGGGTAACAGTCCAGAGTTGCACTTAGCTTACGCAGCGAGTACAAATGATTATTGAAGTTTGGCAAAAAAAAATGCTCGAAAAGAATTAGCATTGCTGATTGCAACGTGAACAGACCTGCTGGTTACACATAAGGGTGCGTCAAAAAACAAATTTGTTTGGTGGAACTTGAGCATTTTATTTTTCGGGTTACTTTTAGTATGACAACTGTGTGGAGTTTGGTGTTTTTTCTCCTTCATTTACCACTGCCTCAAGACACTCCAGACAGGGGTGCAATTTCCCATTGACTTGCTAACGGCGTAGCCAGTATCGTTTGCCACAGCCGGCTAGGAATCTAAAATATGATCCTGTACTGCCGGTAAAACGCCAATGATGCCGAAGCTGAGATTGCCAATCAATGCTACACGAATTGGAATAATGGTAATATGCTGGTAGCGTGTCACAAATCATGGTAAAGCTCGAGATTCTGCTGGTGCCGGTATTATGCTATTGCTGACAAAGCTGCAGCGAATCGTTCTTATGTGTTCCTTCCTGTATCGTTATTTATTCAGTTGTAGCATTTTTGGACCTTTTCGTCACTTTGGGCATCAATGCACCATTCTGTTTTACTTGTTTTCTATTAAATTTGCTTCGTAATCGCCACGCGATGTGTGGATCGCCCATGATCGTAAATAATATATACATACAAGGACTCTTTTGACTTATGCCTCTAAACACAGCAGAGTAACACCAAACACAGTAACACCAACATACCGAGCTACTGTGCAGACACCATATTCTCGAAGTTGTTTGCAGCCATGTCTTCTAAATGCTCTTCGGGGCGACCTCAGGGTCAGGGCCGAGTTCGAAGATTTTCGTGGACTTCTTCAGAACACGATGGCAACATATCAACCAGCAGGACTTTCGGCCTTGCGACAACCCCAAGGAAAGGCTTGGAAAGCAGGCGCAGTCGTGTTCTGCGTGCGCGCTCTCCAGGCCGGCAAGTTCTGGCCACGGAACGACTACCGAGAATGCCTTCAGCTGTGTTCTCTTCCTCGGCGAATTTCCTCCCGGTGATGTGACGGGGGTCGACCACCACGCTCGTTGGATGTCGAAGGTCATATGCAGTGATACACCCTTAAGATCTCCCTTTTCCGCCATTACCTCCGACTGCGTCCAAAAGATCTTAAATCAGTCGAAGAATTTGCCACCTTCGCTGCGCTTGTGTACGTTAAGCTCTGGACGGAGGCTTTTCTGCTGAATGAAGCGCTCACAAACGACCTTTCTCTCATTAAACGCCTTCAAGCCTTCCACGAAGGTTTTCCCTCGACTGCACAATGTGCGCATGCCGCGCTGAAGGCTATCGGCCGCCATCGGTACGCAGCCCCAGGGCTAGCTCCTCTCATCTTGTTCTCTAATCACACACCTCAAAGAGACCTATGACCTTCTTCGCCTTCAGGGCGGCATGCGCAGTCGAGGGAATCCTTCGCGGCAGGCTTGAAGACGTTTAATGAGAAGAGGAACGTTTGGGAGCGCTTCATCCAGTAGCGGGGCCAACGACACCGACGCCAGGTTCATTCAGCTTGTCCACCATGCATTGTGGACAAACTGAATGATCCTGGCGTCGGTGTCGGTGGGCCACCATGCCTTCGGCGATCAAATCCGTCGTTGGATATCGCTTGATGGACCATGGATAGGTTCGTCAATGCGTCTTCGCACTTCTTCGAAAACCTCCATTTTCCTTGTCATTTTCTCACGGGATTCCTAGGACGAGACCTGGAGTTCTGGACTTAGGACCACCACTACCAGGTGGCACGTGGCACTGTCTAGGCCCTGAAGATCGTCAATAATACTGCAGAGAGGGTACTGGCGCTCGAAATGACCTTCAACCGTAAAATAAGAAGTCAGAGTAGGGAAAACAGAAGCTGCTTCAGACGGTCAAGGAAGACCGGGAAGAGATTCCCGGATGCGAAGTAGATGGCCGTCTTGAACAAGTGAAGGCATCCCATGGGTGAACCAAAAACATGTTTCAATGATTGTCCTAGCTTTCCCAATTGATGTCCGGAGCCTGCTCAAGAAATATAAAATTTCAATATTCTCTATTCAATTCTCAGAGCGCCATAAGTTTTCGATATATCGAGCTTTTGGCCAATAAATGCATTGCCATGAGGCAGCACTTCCACTTGCGGGAGGACTGTTATTTTTTGTATGCGGCGTCTAGGTACTAAGTAAGTGGAACCGAAAAATGAACATGCTCAAGATTTATCATCAACTTTTAGTTTCACCATATAATTGGTGACGTACCCTATTACACATCCTTAATGAAAATGCGAAAAGGAGACACATTGCAGGGTATATTGAATTAGGACACACTGCGCTTTTACATTAGCATGATAATTATGCACCATGCAATATGCAACTTAATTTTTCGGCAGTGCAATAAAAGCGACCGCAAAAAAAAAATCAGTAAAATCAGCACCCAACACGTTTAGGCACTAGTGCAACATACTCAGTGAAAACTGCTTTTCATCACGAGGATACGCCAAGCTTGTTTTCATGAGGTTCTAAGAACCGCATGGCGTATATGTCTTAGGCCACCAGATGCCCATGGAAAAAAGTCCATCGGAGGCCAACGAAACAGGTTCCTGAGATGAGACACGATCCTGATAAAAACGGCACTAGGCTATGCGGCCGCCACACTAACCCATACAGAACTCAAAATCCGTTACGCGTTATCAACCAGATCAACCGCGATCCACTGAGGCGATCCCAGCCTATACCGGATCCACTGGTGACAAAGCGGATCTCCAGCAACCTCTAACAGGCCATGGACGACATGCTCTCAGTCTGAGTTCAGAAAGGGAGCACGGTTCAGGTGACTGTTTCTCAGTCCGTACAGCCAGTAGCAATAGTAGACTGTCTGGGGGTTTATAGCTGAATCCTTCATGGAATCCCTCAGCCCGGGATCGGCTTTTATTGGGGACCAACACCTACAAGTCGGCCTTTAATCGCCAATCCGTTGCCAGAACATCCAAAGCTCCACTGATATGATCATTCATGGTACACCAGTCTATAAATCCCGTGAACAAGTACGAATTACGATAGAAGATGAGACAAAGGAAGCGTGACGTAGTGAAGGTAGACAGCAAAATATAGTAAAAGTTAGGCAAAGAAACAATTAGCATTTTTCCATTTTTATCCCGTCTAGCCATTTGGAAGTGAGCACTTTGTGAAATTCGATATTCATTACCTGCGCGCTGGCGTGAACTGCACCCGGATCCCTATAATCACAGCCCATTCTTTCAGCCCCACAAACAGGTAAATCTAGTCTACACCAGTGATTGACGCTTCACGCGAGCAGCTCTCAGACGCCCACATAGGTACCACAGCGACTACCGAGTCCCTGGCCGGCCTCGCCCGAGCCTTTCCGCTACATCGAACCCAGAATGGACCATCAGTAAATGGTGTCGACTTGAAGTTAAACTCCACAAAACCCGGAACTGCCGTTGGCCATTTTCCGGGCGGTACGGAGCGGACGAAGCTCATCTCGGTGTGGGCAGGCATTGTGCGGAGTGAATCCAGGATACGGCGGGATGAACGCAGGGGAAATAAGACGGCGACGGATTCACCGGGGATATTTTTGGCCACGATCAGCGGCTAAGACAGCTCACAGGCGATCGAGCATTATGGTATTACGGCCGTACAGGAAGCACTCGCAAATATAGGATCCCAAATAGGTACATAAGTATTGAGTAAGTAAATGCGCAATGCGCATTAGACTTACGACCAAAGGTTGGTATAAAACCTATTTGTAAGGAATATTCACTTGCTCGCCGCGTATCTAGGGTAAAGATAGCACACATGATGCGCATTTAGTTCGAAAAAGAAGATATATATGCGATCAATCGCAGCTTTTACCGAGATCACCCGGCGAAGTCAAATCCGATGGAGTTACCAAACCAATGACAAACACAACCCTTTGATGTTCCTTCAATACGATTTTATCTCGAACAACCGATGAATAAAGACACTGAAGTCATTAGCAGAGTTCGATCGATCCTCCCAGCACTATCGCTTACCTGTCTGTGTCGCCGGCGGCGGCGCCCCGGACGGTCCGGGCTGGGCGCCGGACGGTCCGGGCGGACTGGGCGCTGCCGCTCTCAGCTCGGTGGCGGGGGGCGAGTGCAGGGGGCTGCGACCGGCCGGGGCTGGGTCAGGCGCAGAGGCGGCCGCCGGCTCCATCACCGGGGCCTGCGTACCGGCGGGCTCGGCTGCGGCAGCGCGAGGTGGAGGCGAGTCAGTGGACAGCGGCGGGGGGGGGGGGCGGAGGTGCGATAGAGGGGGTAGTTGGCGGACCTCGCTGCTCAGATGGCGACACAGACGTGCGTCTCTCAACACAGCAATCCGGCAGCGATGATAAGCAGGGTCGGAGCTCTTTTCGAGCGTCAGTCTCATAGTTATTTGTCCTTGGCTATGCTGATGCTGGGAGGTGGTTATTGAATAACCTGTCCACCGTAGCGATTGGTCTGTGGGAACACTAAGGAACGACGTCGACCGAAGCCATCCGTATCGGCCTATCAGCTAAAACCTCCTGTGAGCCACAAAGGCCTGACACATTACCTTATCATGCCTGTCTGTCTGGTCATGTCTGGTAAATGAGTTGCCCAGTGCCTACCTAAAGGGTGTGACAACTTTACGACACAGCGAACAGAGCATCAACAATCAACATCGGCTTATCGTGGTGTAGTTTGTTGTGCATGTGCAGCTTACTGTGTGCTATCGGCGAAGGCCAAGGCTTCGGTCCGAGGAAAGTTCAAGCAGGGAAATCTGCCATTTCGGGAGTCATTGACTGAGTCATTCACTGATACATGAGTTCAAGATATTTAGAAACCAGGTGGCATTGAAAACGCAGTAACATCAGTTTCATGCTTATGCTTTCTTATGCTTTAGCATTTTGCCACTGATGAAAGATTGCCGAACGGTCTCATATGCCATTGATGGAAGTTGAGCAGGCCGATCGCATATCTTGAGACGATTCTTCGACACGAATATGGATCGACGAATAAGGCTGGGCGCATGAAGTGTGATGCGTGTTTAGATGAATAAAAAGCACCGATTCAGGCTATGAATAGGATTCTGGTTTATCCCAAGTGCAAGAGCAATCCTATACGCGCATTTAATATCGATTTGCAACCGCCGCTCAATATACATAAATCGGTTTGAACTACGCATAAATGATATGCTCATGAACTTTCGCAGCCGTCCAGCGCGTTTCCCTAAAACACAACATTAATAAAACACCGACACATCAAGGAAATCCCTGAGCGCATCTACGTTTTATGAAAGCATGGGACTCAATGGTGGTAAAGCGCGAAAGCCCCTCAGGTTACACTTATCGTGCGTACTCGTGAAAAAAAAAATGGTGAAAGTAGCAACTAGCAACCAACATTTACCTTCGCATGTTATACCGAAAAGGATTTGGCATTACCACAAGCCGTATGGGATATCGCTGCTCAAATGGCACACTATATGCTAAAAACAAATTGTGTTTTGACTTTGGAATGAGTTCGATCCTAACGTTGAATAGTTGGTGAATCGTTGAAAAACTCGAACACCACGCTAAGCATGACTTGCTACGAATCACATCGCGGACCAACACCCGATCTTTCCGCGTCCGGTTTACCAAAATATATAATTTAAACCGAACGTGTAGCGAATCGCAGGTAGACAGGGGCACTCATTCAACAGCTGCCAGTGGTTTTATAGAGACTAGGTACACAGGCCACACGAGGTGCTTCTTTCCGGCCTCGCACTTGCTTTTCCTATGCGGACCGCTTGTTCATATAACTCATGGAAAGCAAACGAAAGAAAGAAATAAGAATGCACATACGCACCTGGAAAATGTTCTTACTTTCAAGTTTCAGTCGCCTTATGTCAGCCGTATAACTAGCCAGTCACAAGACGGATCAATTCCGTCAGACGCTCCATAGTTTCCCAAAGTGGGTCGACTGAGCGATACAGTAGCAGCGGAGTTCCCAAAAATAGCGCGTCTAAATCTAGCCTCCACGCTACGTCGCGGCTTCAAACGGGAGTGATTGGGCTCACAGAAATAGACCTCGAGATTTAAGAGACCGTGCTGTTAGGGCTATATCCGTCGTGCTCTAACCAGAATAGTATTCAGCCAATATTCTTTGAGAAGCTTTCACATCCATCCTGTGAGAACTAGTCAGGTATGTGTAGTAACTAGCCAGCCATAAGATGGTGGTGCACCACGAATGAACCCGATATCCCAGCAACTGTATGATATATGGGCTACAACAGGCTTCAATAGCAACTGTACAACGAACTTCAACGGGACGTCAACATGAACACAAACTTTTTTGTAACCTTATGACACATCTTATCCACATTTCCATTTCAGGACTCAGTCACTCAAGGTCAGGTCACCAGGTCACTTTAAGTTATCCCTTGAGGAAAAGTAAAATGTCTGCCATGACGGCCATAGCTACACGGACTTTGTAGGCCACCTGGCCTGAAGTTTTCGTTCTCATCGAGCGGTGCGTAGATCAATCGGGATTTTGGTATCAGATGCCATCCCAGTGGGCATCCGGGCGCCTCTTAAACAGGCCCAAAGAAGGAGCAAGGAAGACCTCAGAGGGGAGAGAGTTCTACATAGTTGCTTACTTCTGACCCTCAATTGTGCTTGTTCCTTGCTCAACTTTCATGGGTGTCGTCAAACTCTTGTTCTCCGGTCCCGACTTGGAGTGAAAAAGTCCTCTTGGCGCACTCTATCTCTCCTTGTAGCACCCGATGTCTTGGTCGTGTCTCCGTGCCGTCGTATGTAGTACAGAGGGGCAGCAGTACTGTTCTGTGTATGGACAGCCGTTCTGTGTATGGCCTATGCCTCATGTCCTGATTTCCTCCTTTTTGATGCAAGTTTCATTGTACGCCTTTGCACCCTCTCGATTGCCCTTTGGTCCACCTTGGAGAAGGGGCCCCAAATGCAGCAGCCGTACTCGAGATGGGGCCTGACGAGAGACTTGAATAGCAGGAGAGTTTCACAGTTGATGGCTTGGAATGACTTGCGTATCAAAGTCAGTACTTGTGATGCCTTTGCTACCGCACTTGTTGCCTGTTTTCTGAAGTTCAGGTCATTGTCTTTGTGCAGTCAGCAGTGTGCACCCTAACCCTAAGGTCTCGTTCCGATTCTGCCTCGTCGAATTGAAGGCCGTTGAGTATGTAGGACCAGGTGCACCGTGGGTTGCAGCTGCCAATGTCGAGAACAGTGATCTTGTCTTCATTAAATGGTAGCTCCAGATTTTGGACCACTCTGTGATGGCATCCAGATCACACTGTAGAAGAAGTCTTCTGTCCTGAGTGGTTTGCACCCTCCTGTACACCTTGGTGTCGTCAGCGAATGTCTTTATCGAGCAATCAACATTTTCATCATTACAATTTAATATTTTCTAGTGATGTTCTTGCACTTCTTCACAAACTATGCGCCACTTTCTAAAAGAACATCAAAATCGGGAAAATGACTTTAGGTGACATCTGTGATCTGGTGATGTAAAAGTGGATCAAAGTGACTTTAAAAACAGCAAAACTGTCTTCATTATCACTTACAGTCACCTGAAAGCCTCATACAACTACTCACTGTGTGGACTATGAACCAGATCAGAGCAAAGCAATGAACATAAAAATGTCTCCAGTCTCACTGTGCTACTATTGGACTATTATTACCAAACAAAAACGTGAATAGAAAGAACACATCCTTCTAAGGTTGTTAAGTGACACCACACATTGGTATTTATGATACTTTTTAAGCAAGGTATCATATTTAGGTTACACCCAATCACATGTTGACTGTTGAGTCATGTAAAGTAAGGTTAGTTAGTTTTTTGAAAACCAATGTTACACCAATTTGTTGCCAGCATGACATATATTACCATGAACTAAAATGCAATTGTCTGCTGTGCCCCACGCAGACAGTCGTATGCTCAGACACAGCCACCATCCAATGCCTTCCATCAGATACAGATACTGAGCACCAATGCAATTGCAGACTGACCCTGACCCAAGACCCAGCTTGCAGGTCTGGTCACCTCTGGGCTCTGGCAGCAAATGAGGTAACTATGGTACAGGTAAGGTTAGGTCAATTAAGATTAGGTTTTGTTATTTCTGCTTGTAGTGTACCTGATCTATTTAGCACTAAATGATGATGTCAACAATTTTCTAGGCTGATATATGATTTGTGAGAATTTGGAGTGGTTTTTATTGTTTTGAGCCTAGGGTGCAAAAGAGCCATTTCAACACGAATTGGATGGTAGGGGTCAGACCCCTAGCGGACCTACCATATGAAGAGCGCCTAAGAAGACTGGACCTAACTACCCTACAGGAACGTCGGCACAGAGGCGACTTGATCCAAGTATTCAAGATACTAAAAGGCATTGACCTGGTGAACGCTGGCGACAAGTTTCTTGGACTGCAAGCAGGACCACACCGACACAGGACTCGTGGACACCCCCTCAAGTTAAGTAAACCGAGACACCGGACACACAAGCGGAACATGTTCTTCTCGTCCTGAGTCGTCGACAGCTGGAACAACCTGCCAGAAGATGTGGTCATGAGTCACACCATCAGTACATTTAAGAAGAAACTGGACCAACACATGTCGAAACAGTGAGAGAGGCAGCATCCTATGAGCAATCCTGCTCCCATGCCTCTTATCCAATCTACTAGGTGAGCATCTACTAGGTGAGCACCCCATGCAAAAAGTAAGGTATTCTTGGTGTGGGTACAAGCCACGACTCTAACAACCCACTCGTTAAATCCCTGTTGACCCTGTTGATGTAAGAATCTTGAAACAGCATTCAATTCAAAACCCTGGCTCCCCAGTCCCTACCCTGGGAAGCATTCTGGTCTAAAAGTAAGTTCCTTGCCTCTAGATTCAGCCATCCGGGTTCGATTCCCGGGCAATGCATGTGGCATTGCCGCTGTCTGACCGCTTGGAACAGCGTGAGAGTTCCGGTTAGCACTTGGTCCACCTGATATGGTGCTTAACCCAAACCAACCAACCAGTCCCCACCCTGGTTGCATAAACATTACATTCATCAACAACCATCAATCATTGGTAAGAAGCAAAGTTTATGGTCTATTGCACTTAAGCTTTAAAATAATAAAACTAAATATCATTATTTTGATCAGAACACCCAGTAACACAGCAAGCATGCTGATGATGTTGATGTCATTTGCAACTTGAACTTGAACTATGGATCAAACATACCTTTAAAAGAATATCCTTTTATTTGCTGGGCGAAATCTTATCATATAATGTCCAAATATTAATATAAATATACCAAGCTATTATTCGTTATACACTATCTTGACCACTATCATCACACAACTCAATAAACCTTGCAATAAACTTGCAATGAACTACAAAACAAGTTGGAATGTACACAAATGATACGCAATGCTGCGTCCTTGAGACGAAACCGGATGTTGGATGTTTTTACTTTTGTAGATGCGATAACGACATTCGGGAAATTACCCGGAGGTTTATAGAGATATTTTCAGGCATTCTAGAGAAAAACTTCTCAGCTACGCGCTGATTTATTTTGGCATCGACTATTGAGGGGTCAGTCAGACCTGAGGGCTGATGGGCGATGGCTGAGGGTATTCAAATAACAAAGCTATTGGTTTACTCACCATATGAATATGAAGGTAAACATACTATCTACATTCCACATCAGTAAGATAACCAGCCGAAAATGGTTCCCGGCTCGCTTTTCACATCAATGATTCCCAAAAAGGCCCATGCCAGTGTGTTTTATGGCCTATGAGCGTAAGAAGTGTCTTGTGAAGGATCTTATCAACCCAGCCCATTGCAAATGTTTAAAAAGGCGGCGCTGCTTAACCCTCTCCCGTTTCTTATAAACTCCCGAGTATCTCTAAGCAACGACTGCTACATACATACGTCCGTCTTGTTGACGCGCGGGGGTGGCGACAGCTTCGATGCACTGCATTACTCAAAACTTGTTCAGAAAGAGCGCGCTGATTCGTGCACTCGTGTATTCGCCGTGGCCGGCAGCGCTGTACAAAATGCCGCCGAGCGGACACGTGTGGTCGTGTCAGGCAAAGTGTGCTGTCTAACCCGGGAGCGCTGCTCCAACGCAGGATAACCAGATCAGCACTGCGCCAAGGAGCCGGCGAGAAATCATTACAGTGCCGCAAGCAGAGTGAATGTCAGATTATCGAGTCAGAGACGTCGGTTATTCATCCGTATGAGTACGGAACGAAAACGAAGAGTCATTGCGTGTAATGAGTCAGAATATCAGATAGCCGCAAGAAATGGGACTCGGAAAAAGCGAGGCGCTTCTGCTCTCGGGCGGCGCGACAAAGCAAGCGCTGGGCAAGAAAAGTGAAAGAGAAAACGTGCGATCACGACTAGATCCCCACAGCTCAGTCCGTCGCTCTCCGGCCGCTATTGTCGGTTTGCATCTCCGAAATCCGCCCCGTCACTTGATTACGAATCAGAATCACACACATACACACGAGGACGCTCGCGCACGGCAGCGCGCGCACTCCGACGCATAGATAGACACAAAATCGCGAGTAAACATGTTCTGGCACCGGGCGGTGTTGGCGCAGGCGCTCTCGGTCCTGCAGATGCCGACGAGTCCAGGCGAACGCCGTCGCCGGCAGCTATATGATGCCAGTGTCGCTCCTGGCTACTGCGCGTAGCCAGAGGTAAAACCACCGCCACCTGGCGGAGAATGCCAGAAGTTCCGCCTCCTGCGCTACCGACAGATGACAGTGCCACCAGGCTCGACTGCAGTCGCCTACCCCACATGGTGGTATCTTTGCTAGGTCGTGGTGGAGCTTATTGCAGAACGAGACCGATCTGAAAAGAAACAACACATAGATTAAAAATTGCGCTAAAAAAACTAGTTTGCTGTGCGATAAAATCGATGCGTCATAGCTGGTATGCAGACTACCGGTAGCCACGCACACAAATTTGCAGCAATAAATATCATCTACTACGAAACAATTTCGGACCGTTCCGTGCTTCTATCCTCAGGATACTGAAATCCTTCTCCTCCACGCCGCAACCCCCTTCCGGGCTGGACAGGTAACTTTATCTCATGCGGGCTGCTCCCTTGGAGCGGCACCGCTGCTCCCGAGGGAGCGCACCCCGTAGCCGGGTGCAGTGAGTGCCTTGGGGCTGGGTGGCCTGTCCTCTGGACGGGCTCAGCCCCGGCGACTCACTAGGGTGCCTGCCCAGACCAATGTCTCCCCCTAAATCCTATCATCCTTCCGGCTCTGCAATGGTCTTGACGACCGAAAGGGCCTAACCCAACAAAACAAACAAACAAAAAACAATTTCGACCAACGCCTTCCCTAATTCCTATCATCCTTCCGGCTCTGAAATGGGAGCTAAACGGCTCAGCACAACACATATCTGTTCGTTTCTGGCACGAGCTGTACGCGATTCCCGTCCCGCCCACCGTTCCACGCCGTTCCCTCGTCCGCCTGACCTGTTTGGGCTCCATGCTGGGGCACTTCCAGTTGTAGAGGTAGTACTGCAGGTTGCCGTCGCCGATGCCGAACTTGAGCGGCTCCAGGAAAGACTTGTTCTCCATCAGGTCGAGCGCGTTGAACACGTCGAAACCCTCCTGCAGAAGCGGGAGCATCATGACCCATCAGTGGAAAACAGTGTAGTGACGTTATTTTTCTTTATACTAGTTAACAATGCTCTCACTACAACTATCAATCATTTCGCAAATAATCGCATCAGTTTCACACAATCATCAGCTGAGCACCAGCAAAACATAGGCCAATATACCTCGAATTGTCTTTTTCGAAGCGCATAAACATCTGAGCGTGTCTCACATTCCACCAGTGACGTCACGCCCCGAACGCGACCGACTCACGTTTTTGGCGGTGATGAGGGCGTCCCTCATGAGCTGCAGCAGCGGCGTGCTGCGGCCGACGTTATAGAACGAGTAGGCCGCCATCAGCTGTTTGTGCGTCGGGTGGTGCATGATGGTCGACGGCAGGCTGTAGAAACTCACAAAGTCTGTGACGGAGAGCGGCGGAAGCGCACGAGGTGTCAGTGACAGGCAGGGCAGGGTGGTTAGAATTGAGCCGCTGCAATATTTTGTGAATGACGAACTGTATCATGACGCAAATAATGGAAATGATTGTTCACTGTGTCTCATCGTCAACACGTCCCATCAATCAATCATTCTTCTAACCCACCGGTATTATTTCAGTCCTTTCTTTTCCACTGCGCATGCCCTTTCCGTCCTTTCGAACCCGCCGATAACTTCCGTCCTTCCCAACTCAACAGTGACCGTTCAGTCCTCTCAAACCACCGATAAATCCGTCCTTTCCCGGCTACTCACCGGTGACTTTGCCGTCCTTTTCGACGACGTAGCTGTCGACAATGGTGGGTCTCGGCGTGAACCAGTGTCGGAACTCCTCCTCGTCAAACGATGGCGCCAGGTCAAACTGGCCCAGGTACTGTGTGGAGCGAGGGAGGGGCGGCAGAGAAACGGCGTCAGTGCAACGGTGCTACTTCAGTTAAACTATACACAAAAAAAAAATATTCGACCAAAAATGTCACCCTAATGTTTAAATAAGTAGAAATAAGATTCAAAAGCTGATGGTAATTGCTGTTTTTTTATATCATCGCGTGTCCTCCGAATGCCCGTCCAATGGTCACACCTCAATTCACTACACCCCGCACAAACCCGCTCTCAAACTACCACATTCCGAGCCACTATCTTCCCTCCCTTCCCCTCTTCCTCCGCCGTCTCTCACGTCGTTCAGCAGTTTCATGGCGGCCGGCACGTCGGCCGGAGTCAGCCGCCGGAACCCCTCCGTCTCCGTCTCCGCCGGCAGACGGTGCAGCTTCAGCGTCCGCTGCATCGTCATGTTGCGGGACAGCTGGCTGAACTTGACCTCAATCAGCTTCTTGGGGTTCAGCGAGCGGTGCCAGTACCTGCAAGAGGAGGGCGGGGATGTCAGTTGATTATGAGATGCACTGAATACTTGCTGAAAGTAAATGCATGCAATCAACGAATGTAACAACGAAATAGATGGTTTGCGCATTTCTAACTCGCTCTTTCAATTTATAACTTGATAATTAGAAACTCACTCTGCTAACGTTGAATCATGAACCCTGACGAAGATGGAGTCAGAAACCGGCATAGCCATTCCCATACGTCATTTGATTAGCGTATCTAATGCCAAATCACAAACGGTGGCTAACTTTGCATAAGGCCACCATCCCAGACCGCCATTTTAGTGTACCGTTACGCCACCCACGTCGCTTTCTTACCTGCAAGTACCGACGGGTTTGGGCAGCACCACTCCGGCCGTGTACACCGCCTGGAAGATGCCGGTCCGGTTCACTCGGCGCGTGATCTCCTTGATGAGCACAGGCGCCACGCGCTTGGAGCGCAGCTTCTTGTGCACACAGAGGAAGTTCACCTCGACCATACGCTGCGTCCTGGAGAGGGGGAGACAGGGATACAGCGTGAAAGACTGAAATATAATGAAGAGGTGTAAAGCCCTCAGCAGACTGCGTGGTAGGTATTCTTTTTTGGACAAAACCGATAATAACTCAAAGGCTATGTTATCAGTCGGTCGGAACTCGCTGCAAATAGATGCGCCATGCTCCACTCCTTCGATCGGGTCTATCACTAAGCAAAGTATACGCCTTGTGTGGCAATAAAATGCAAAGTTTGTTTTGGGGGCAAATATAGACTTTTGGGTTTTGTTGCCAAACTGGATGGAAAATGAATACGATGATAATGTCAATCTAATGCCTGAAACAGACTAATCCCGCAGTCAGGAAATCGCATGCGAGAGCCTATTCAAATACATTGAAGCACGCTCGCATCAATCGCACGCACCTCCCGGATGCGATTGATGCGGGAAGAATTATAATGTATTTGAATAGGCTCTCGCATGCGATTTCCTGAACGCGGAAAGAGTCTGTTTCAGCCTTAAGGTACGGAGTCTCATGCGTCTTGCTGTTACGATTTCCGAGTGACCGATAGCATAGTATCCGCGTTTCTCGGTTTTGTTGAAAAAAAGAATAATTACCACGCAGTTTGCAGAGGGTGTACTTTCTGTCAGGTAAATATCGCTTCCAAACGTTCAAAATAGCATACTTCAAACAAGGTTTATCCTAGTTAGTACGATTACCTTAGGACGACTCAAAATGTATCACCTTTCCATGCTTCTATCCTCAGGATACTGAAATCCTTCTCCTCCACGCCGCAACCCCCCTCCGGGCTGGACAGGCAACTTTATCTCATGCGGGCTGCTCCCTTGGAGCGGCACCGCTGCTCCTGAGGGAGCGCACCCGTAGCCGGGTACAGTGAGTGCCTTGGGGCTGGGTGGCCTGTCCTCTGAACGGGCTCAGCCCCGGCGACTCACTAGGGTGCCTGCCCAGACCAATGTCTCCCCCTAATTCCTATCATCCTTCCGGCTCTGCAATGGTCTTGTCGACCGAAAGGGCCTAACCCAACAAAACAAACAAACAAACAATCAAAATGTATCCGTTCAATAAAAATTGATATCTGAGACTCAGTGAAACAAAACCATATGACCACTCTGTCGTAGGTACCCACAACCAACTAGGTACTGACCGTTTGTAGATGTTGATGGTGGCTGGGATGGCGGAGATGAATCCCACCAGTTTGTTGGACTTTGTGACACGCACCCCGCAGAGCCAGTCGGTCACCCAGCCCGGTGGACGCAGCGCCCTGTGGAAGGGGGCAGGGGAGGGGTGGTCAGTCAGTGGGCGATCAGGCGGCAGAAACGGTGGTTACTGGTTAGTAGCCCAGCCCGGCGGACGCAGCGGCCTGTGGCGGGGGCAGGGTAGGTCATCAGGGAAAAGTATGGGCTCCTCTCCTAGTGACCCTCCTGGGTCACAGACTGTTTATGTGAAACAAATTCATAAAGGTAATGAAGTTTTGACACTTGGTATTTCATCAAATAAGTGGCGACTTTTTTCTGGTAAGACTCCAAAACAGGATGGGCAGATTTCCAGCTTTTTTTGCATGACATCAGGCCAGCTGCTTTCATCTTCCCGAGCAACGCCCCACGCTCACCAGTCGAGGAACTTTGGCGAGTAGTCGAACCGGAACATGTTGTCGTCATCCTCCACGTAGTTGTTGGTCAGCAGAGTGTACAGCTCGTTCAGCTGTCCAGAGGGCAGCGGCGCCGTCAGCAACACTTAGGCAATGGCGCCGGATGGCCAAAGATCAACAACACAGTTAACACTAACGCAATGGTACCGACCAGATGTTCAAAGGTCATCTGCACCAAAAGGATTAGATCTTGGGCATTGTTCACACATTTACCATACAACGTGTTACGCAAGTGCGTGGCCAAGAATGCGGAGTTAGTTTCATCACAATGATGTTTCAAAGTTCGTTCAGTCGACAATTAGAAACGGAATGGTGTAATGGCGTATGACCCAGTAAAATCGACGGATATCGTCATTGGCGTACGTCCTAGCACAAAATGCAACTCACAAGTACTAGGTGTCCCGCAACCTGATAAGGGAGTTGGGGTTAAATCGTTCGTTTGCTACCGATAAATAAATAAATAAAAACTCAGAAGCTTTAAACAAAGACGGAAAATATGTAGCATTTACGTAAACGGCCATCGCTGATCGCACACATAATTGTTTGAAGTCGTTGCCATCGTTGCATAATACGTATTACGACAAAAAGCACAACATTCTACTCAAGATTACTTAACCAATGATTGTACAGACGAAAAGTCCACCATTTCTGATAAATAACAACTTTTCAAGGTGTTCCATATTACAACGACGGTGTTATGTACAATCGCCAATCCCGGTGATTATTATCCCTCATGTTTGGTCCGAAAGATGCACCTGTGATGCACTTATGATTAAATGCATAATAATAATAATAATACTTTATTGGCCACAAATTTTTAGAGGTTCAACCAGATCCAGAATTACATATCCAGGAGCGCTCAATTTTGTAATATTGCCACCGATTTCCGACAGCATCCATCCTCACCTGCTCTGGATCGTCCAGGTTCATGGTGTCCCACTTGAAGCCATCAGGCAGCGAGTAGGGCTCGGCACGGACCTCAGAGACCTCCTTGTCACCTTCCAGGGGCTCATTACCCTCGGCATCTTGGTCTGTGGCCAGACAAGGGTTGGTGAACAGGGGAGCTCAGAGTGGTACTGGCAATTCACTCACATCAGAGGCATAACACAATAACACATCTGCCATTGAGGCAGCCCACAAAAATAGTGACATGCCATCAATGAGCCAAGACTGAGATGTAAAGAATAATGAATGTAGGCATAATTTTATAAGCCAGGCTCCAAAGCGTGGCAATTTTGACATCTTGTCAGCATCAGCTCAATCACTTGATGCAGATGTTCCATGAATCATGATGCACTGGGGATCTCATTTGATGTCATGCAGATTTTGCATGGGCCTACCCATGGTAGCCTGAACCAGTTGTGTAGCATATAACAGACAGAAGCTTCCAGAATGAAGCCCATCATTCTTTATCAACTTTAACCCTTTTATTCCTTTAAAAGTTCAAAAGATAATATCCTTGTTCTGGTTCATAAGGTGTGTTTTAGACTTTATAGGTCAAATTTCCACCCTGGTCAATCTAAGAATTGAGAAAATGATAAGACAATTAATACTGCTCAGACAATGTCAAAAGATATCAACTCTTACCTATTTTAAGGACAGGCTGAGTCTCCCAGAACTGATACTTTTTCCGTTTGGCCTCGTCCTGGGTCTTGGCCGGCCCCTGGTGGAACTGTTCCCGGCCCTGGGTGACCGACAGCAGCTCCATTGCCTTCCGCAGGTTGTTCAGGTTCTTCATCTGATTTCCCTGACTGGCACTTACTACCGTGGTATCTTCGCTCTTCTCCTGAGCGGGAGCTCCCTTATCCTTCTTTTTCCTGTGAATGAGAACACATTGGTGAGACGACATCCTGAGCATACGTGACTTTTAACTTTGTCATTGCTGTGGCATTACCTGAAGCCTTAAAGGAAATAGTTCACTTTTTAACATGGGTTTTGAACTGGAATAGCAGTTCCGTAGCTTGGGCTGAGACGAGCATAAATCAGGAGCTTTTACAGCCCAACGATCACCCTAGGCAAAGATATTCTATTTCTCGTCCCGAAAAAGGTGTCTTGCGTTGAGGATGTGTGCCTTGCATATATTTCCATCCAGTATGAAAAGAGCATGGGTCCCGACAATTCTTCAGAAACTAGAGAAATTATCTACGAGAACTCTAGAAAAATTCTCGTACTGATCAATTAGGACATTCAGGGGAACATTATCAGATCGAGCAGATCGCCCAAATGCCGGTGGCTGCGATAATTTCTCTGTTTCTGAAGAATTTTCGGGACCCATGCTCTTTTCATACTGGATCGCGTGTGCCTTACAGAAACTGAAAAGTTCTTCCTATATCAAAATATAGAAAATAATATTTTGTTATAAAAAGGTTTTATTTTCTTTGCTGATTATTTTGAACATAAAAAATCATAAATCCGTTGCAAAAAAAATAATTTCGTGAAAGTGAACTATTTCCTTTAAGACTGGCCTGGATGTGATGAAGGCATGCATTACCAATGTCAGTGATTTCAAGCATCACATTGGTACCATGTTCAATGTTCCTCTGCACCTACCCCTACCCTGCACTTACTTGTTCCCTCCAACCTTGCCATTTGCCGTTGCTCCTTGATTGGCGGATGGTTCTCCACTCATTGCAAAATTTTGACAGTAAAATCGGTTGATCAGAAGGCGACAAACCGAAGGGGGTTATACTGAGTCGCCAGAAACAGCCCAGGCACGACTATGCCTCTCCAACGAAACACCTTAGAATCTCAAAATATGTTTAATGCCGTTTGAACCCTTGGAATGCTTAACAGCAGATATAACTAGCGATATATCACAAACTGGGCGGAATTCCGGCGCGGACCACGCGTGCACAAAATGGCAAATGATAATCACGGTATATAGAGAACTATGATAATGATAATAATGGCGCACATCCCATTCACGAACGCAGACATTAATTGCTACCATATTCTGCCAATGAATGCTGCCACATTTGATCAGAAAGAAAAATCCCTTTATCTGAACGAAGGTATTCCACGTATTCCACGGATTGTGAACAGTACCTATTTGTTTTCAATATAATCATGTGTGGGGCAGGCTGTTCTTCCTTTCCTCCATTCCGTAACCTCCGTTCTGAAATGTGTCTCCTATTCGATCCCAACCGCTGATTCCTCTCCCCAGTCGGCAGGCCCCCGTTCCATAATAGGCGGTAGGCCTAGTTCGGAGCACGGCCGCTAGCCCGGGTGGTGTTTCACCGGTCTCACCGATGATAGTGGTTGGATAGTGGCACGCAACTACTACTACTACTACTAGTAGTAGTACACGTGTCAAATTGGGTTTCCATGGAGACGTCAACAAGCCCATTGCTCCAACACTACCACAAGTGTGACGTCAGCTCGCGAAATGGAATAGCAGCGTGCCGTGAAACACCGCCCCGGTCCCGTCCCGATCCGGTGAGCTACCGTGCACCTCGGAGCACAAAAAGTATCAATTAAAAAGATTGATTGTGCGGACACGATGACGGACGCATCGGAAAGATGTGGGCAACATTGCTGAAATCCGGCGCAATCTGCATCACCAAATAAAAAGTTGTCGTGCGTGTCTCGCCTTGGCTTCATACCGCATCATCGCGACCGAACAGTTGGTGTGCGCCTGGCTTGGTCCGAGAAAGCCAGCCAGCCAGGGTCCCTCGGGGCCGTAGTTGCCGATCGGGACGTAGCTTTATGTAGCTAACCAAGATACGTTGCCTGTCACAAACAATTTCCGACTGTTTAAAGTCCTTTCTCATCCAAGAGCAGGTTCTACCCTATAGTCCTGAAGGATTCAAAAAGCCTTTCACACATGAGGTAATCTAGAGCATCTGTGTGCTGAGTGCTGACCTTGCTACCCACCACAAATGAGACCAACATCAAATCCACCCAATATCGAGGAGCCTTCACCAAAACTCACAACTCAAAACTTGTGTTTCTGTATGGCATTCGGCGGCCTACCTGATATGTATTCATCATCGTGACTTATACATCGGAAATAGCAAGGCACCGACACTTAAGAACCGTAGCGGAAGGCCTATGACAACACCCTAACAAATGGTTCCGCTAGAAAACACAAAGCACGGCATCCGTGCCCTCGCAACAACTTCACACACGAAAAAAAAACGTCATAGAAAACATCATACTCACTGGCATTAAATTGTTTCTAACCCACCAATCTCCCGATCCATCGCATAACTTGTCACCCTCCAACGCATAACGATACTCGCCGAGCTACAAGCAGCTCACCATCACAGCCTGAGCGCGCCCTCGACGGCCTTCAGCGCGCTGACGGCCACCTTCGCGCGCTCCTCCAGCCGCTGCACCGTGTCCCCGTCAGCCAGCTTGTTCTTGTTCCGCAGCACAAAGTGGTGTATGAACAGCACCAGACTGTCGCGGAGGTGCTTCAGCTGCGCGCCCGACGCCCGCTGGAAGAGCTCGCGGATGGTGTCTGGGTCCTCGGCGGACATCAGGAGCGCCAGCAGCAGCTGGCGCAGGAAGCGGACCATCGGCTTCGACATCTCTGAGAACTCAACCACCTGCAGAGGGGGGGGGGGGGTCAGAATGGAACAAGCGAAGGGCAGCATAATTCAAATCATTGGCACCTTCTGCCCTGAGTATTTATTTACGCAGCTACGACCCCGAACAGTGATGTGTGCTTGGTCATTATGACGACCTTCTGAACTGTGTTACGCTGGTCACACCAATTCCATCACCATCACCTCCTACCTTGTGTATGGAGACATTACGATGAATTACGTCAATCTCCGCCACCCCGTACCTTTAGCACTGCGATGGTGAGCTGGCCGGCCGAGATGAGATGAGACAGCACCTTGGCGAGGTTGCTGGCCGGCCCCGAGCCGAGTGACGGCAGCTGCTTCAGGTGCTCCCACACGGAGATCTTCACACGCATCTAAACAATGGGCCGAGAGAATAGGAGCCGGTAAGATAAGGGAACCAGCGAGCCAAGAAAAGATAAGCCAGAGAGTTGGTAATCGGGCGAGCTTGTGTGAAATGTCTAGTTTGATCTGGCATCAGCGAGAATCGGTAAAAGTGAGTAAGTGACACATTAAATAAGCCAACGATCCGAATGTGGCCACACCCGAGATAACCGACTAACTACAGCATGAGCTGGACACGTCACATCACCAAGCTCGGTCACCACCCAGTCCCACTATCAAATACACACCATGCTAAACCTCACACCCTTTGTTTGTTTGCTGGGAGAGCGCAGCATTGCTCCCTCCTATACCCCGTCCCCGACTGACCTGGTACTTCCTATCCACGGCGCAGAGCCGCTCCAGAAGGTGGCTGTAGTAGGGGTTGTGGGTCCGCTCGCGGAGAGCACAGCCCACAATCACAGTCACCATCTCCTGCTCTTGCTGTGGCCCCTTCAGACCGAGTCGCATCAGCTTCTCAAAGCCGTCCAGGTAGTCCTGAGGACGAACGCGGGGATAGGTCAGGTGTGTGTGGGGGGGGGGAGGGGAGGGGAGGGGGAGGGGACAACAGCAAATGCAGTGCCAGTCTAAATGGGTGACAGTAAACCAGGCGAAAACAACAAAAATGGCATGGGTCACTGCCACCGAGGCCGAATAGCTCTGCCGCGTAGCGTTGAAGTCTAGCACTATAACCCTCGCCCGTAAACGGCGATCTGCCACCTTCGCCCATGCAGGGGGGGGGGGTTGGTGCGACCCCCCCCCCCCTTGGCGTTTGAAAACGGAGCGTCGTAGAGCTTAGCGGAAAAGACCAACGGATTGCTCTCGCCGAGATCTCGCGATTGGTGGTATATTTTTTGGTCCTAGGTCAACATTTGACCTACTTTTGACCGGTCAAAGGTCAAATTTTCGGAAAAATAGACTTTTTCAATTTTTCCGCGGCGATTGCGGCAAAACGGTGGGAGATATCGACTTGAAACCTTCACTATCGTGTTCCTTGATCAATTCTCTATCGTTTGGTATGTATTTCGTTTCCCTAGCTCTAAAAATGGCGCGTTGGGAGCGCCGGAAGTCGGCAAGGTCACAGTCGGCGGCAGAAATTCGAAAAATCAAAATTTAAATTTTTGAAATCTGATTGTATTTTTGGATTTGGGATGTCCATTTGCTCCCTATAGAAGCTAATATTGCTGCATATTCCCATTGAGGTGACAAGAATTAGCAAAATAGTGGTTCGGGCGCTTTTCAAAAATAGTACCGGACGCTGTTCCTCTTGTGACGTCATAGCTCCGTGACCTGACCTGACCCGGTCAAGTTTCTTATACCATATGATAGCCAATACTTGCCCCAACATGCATGGGAAGTTTCATCACGATCCATCAACCGATGTCCGTACCACCGGCAGGAAACCTCGGGCGTTGGCACTCAGTTTGTGAAAATCCGGCCGGAGGCTGTTCCCTTTGTGACGTCATAACTCCGTGACCTGACATGACCCGGTCAAAATTTTTTTATCAAAAGATGCGCAAGGTTTGCCCCATAAGGTACCCAAAATTTGGCGGCGCTGCGCGCCGCCGTTTTTGCACTATTTCCGAAAAACCTCAGGGGGGGGGGTTGCACTAACCCCCCCTACATGGGCGAGGGATAAAGACTAAGATACCTTGATTGAATAACATACTTAATACCGTAAAATACTCTACTCCAGCCCCACTCTACTCAACTAGATTCCACTCCACTCTCACTCTCACTCTCACATCCACACCTTACCCAGCCACCTACCTCTGCCGACATGATAACGCAGAACACGTTCCTCCTCAGGTCGGTGTTCATTCGCTGCTGGCGGGCCAGTTCCAGCAGCTGGGCAGAGTACTGCTGCGCGGGCGGCGCGGGCGGCTGGGCGCCCCTCCCGCCGCCGGTGGCTGGGTCAGCGTCGGCCGTCTGCCGCTCCTTCAGTGTGCCGCTCCAGGCGGAGCCGACCACCCACCACTTACCGCGCTCCTCCGCTGAACGGGGACAACGGAGGGAGGGGAGGCCGAGGGTTATTGTCGTTATCGCCCACAAATTATAAATATCCACCTAGTCACATTAAGTGCGAATTATTTAAATATCCAAGCGATACGTGTTAAAGGTAAGGCTTCTCATTCGGACGGTTATTCCCGGTAGGTCAATAACATCATAGAATAGCAAAATTTAATAGCATTTTGTTATACAAAAAAAAAAATCGAATGGTAACAAGCTCCGTGACTTAGATAAGCCGCCGTCAGCCCCCACCTTTGAGCAGGTCCTCCAGCGAGATGCTCAGCTCGGTCAGCGTCTGACTCGGGTTCACCAGCGTCTTCAATAGCTTGTTCAGCTCCTGGCCCAGCACCGGGTCGTAGTTGGGAATCTTGGCCATGTTGTTATTCCGCAGAGCCATCACTATGTCCAGCAGGAAACGAACGCGGCTGCTGCAAAATGGAAGGAAAACGAACGCGTTAGCATCGGATAAAAATCACTCAACGGCTATGGGCAGCATTAGCATTACCTATCTGAACAAAGATGACAAGGAAAATATTAAAAGGTAATTTCAATTTCGATCTTTTTTTATGGATTGGAAACACGTAGAAATAATATTTATGCAGAGCACTGATCGCATAGATCCCTCCACAAGGTACACACTGCATTAAGAGCATCTTTAACGAAGCTACGCACTCCAAGCCTCATACCGGCTACTCCCCCAGACACCCCACTCGGCGGGCCCAACACTAACCTATCGGCGCCGTCCCCAGCGGTGGCGGCGGCCGCCTTGGCCTGCAGCCGCAGAATGAGCTCCTTCAGCGCGGCCGGGTCGTCCTTCCGCATCGTGAAGCCGACGCTGCGCAGCACGGTCAGGATCAGCTCCACGTCCTTGGGTGAGAAGCGCTCCACCATGATCTTCAGAATGTCGTAGATGACCGTGCTGTCCGTCACCTGGAGGAAACGTGAGGCGAAAAGTCAATATACCAAACGAATGGTGAAACACGTCACACAGGACAGCTGAAATGCTGGCACTAGCGATACCACAGGGCAAAGCAAGGAATAGGCAACCAAAATATCAATTTACGCTATGTCAAAGAATATGATAAAAAAGGGACACTTGTTTTAAAAACAATGAAGCATGAAGTGTGTTTTATGTAGAGACCGTTATAAGCTAAACGAACTTGTCTCGTGCCAGCCTGCTAGGACCTACGCTGTAAGTGACCTACCCTGAACGTGTAGAGGTGCGCCAGCAGCATGACGAGGCAGTCCAGCTCCTTGCTCTCGCTGTCTCGCTGCTCGTCCATCAGCAGCTTGTGGAACCGCTGGGCCGTCATCAGAAGGAAGTGTGCGCCTGCCAGGATACAGCACAGACCATGTGGCAATGACACATCCTTGTTGTGGTAATCATAAAATTACACCCAATGAAACAAACGGATTACAAAATTTTGCCGAGATATTGGCATATAGAGGCACTCCGATCCAAAACAATCGGCGAGTCCCGTTCTTCCCCTCCCCCCAAAAAAAATCTTGTCTAGTTTTCATTTACAGCAACCGCATCCCCGCCGGCACGTACCGACCCAGTCACACCCCGGCACGTACCGACTTCAGATCCGACATTGGCGTGCAGGGCGGCCAGCAGCAGCACGTGCTCCATGACCATGCGGTCGGGTCGGACGGCCGCCGGCGACACGCACGCCTCGTGCACCAGCTCGGTGAGCGTCTGGCTGGTATCGTGCCGACTGTGGCTGGCGTACAGCTCCTCCAGTAGCGCCAGCACGCCGCGCGCACTGGCCGCCGACAGCCGGTTCAGCTGGCCCTGCAGGCGGCGGCGCAACTGCGCGCGGCGCGCCCGCTCGTCAGCGCTGGAAGCGAGCTGCTGAGCGCGCAGAGCCGGTGGGATGTAGCGGGCCGGCGCGGCGGCGGCGGCGCTGGTGGCTGAGTCGGAGCCCACCTACAGAGCGGAGGGAGGGGAGGGAGGGTTGAGTGGGTCCGTCACGGTGAGCTCGTCACGGTAAAATGGGTACGAGCAATTTGAAGAAAAGCCAACACAAAGTAAAATATGTCTATCGTATGAGTAAATGGTATATAAGACGTTAAATATGAAATATCAGGAAAACATGAAACTGGGAAATTTTCCAGAAAAAAAAAACAAAAAGTCCATCTGTGTTGAGTTATCGAAATGCACGATCAATAGCTTATATTTCAAAAAAAAATTAATTAATAAAATAAATGTCTAGGCAGAAAGTCACATAGGAAATAGGAAGACTAGTCGCGCTTGACTTACCCCGGTGAGAATGGAGCCATCCTTGCCGCGCATTCTTCCGTAGATGTCTTCCCAAACTCCATCGTTATCGTCCTCCTTGGTATCGTCCTTCCGCTTCTTCTTTTTTGTCTTCTTCTGCTCGGATACTTCCTCTTCTTCATCTTCCACTTCATCCAGTTTCCGTTTCAGCTCCTTCTTGGACTTCTCTGGTGACTGTTCCGACTCTTCCTCTGAATCATCTGCTTCAGAATCTGAGCCGCCCTCTAGCATATCAAAATCGGATCCAACATCGTCTTCTTCACCAGCACTGACATTTTCCTTCTCATCCTCACCCAAACCAGATCCTGCCAGTTCTTCATCTGATTCAACATCCTCTTCCTCTTCCTCTCCAGCATCATTTTCACTTCCTTGTTCTTCATCTTCATTCTCTGGCTCAGACTCTCCTGAAATTTCGTCAGACATATCGCCTTCGTCATCGCTGCCCTCCGTTTTGCCCTGGGGTGTTTTACCACCGGCACCGGTCGCCAGCGCAAGGTCTCTCTCGAAGTCGCCCTCGCCCTCATCGTCATCGAAGGCGGGCTCCTCCCCCTTCATGTCTTTCAGCTTCTCCGGATCAGTCACGTCCAGAAGATCTGTGCTCAGAAGTTAAGGATTTATGCGACATATGCGTTCAGCAAGATGCTGATAGTCCAATGTGAAGTAGGAATAACTAGCAAAAAAGCTAAAAACAGTACAATGCTTAATGCTACCTATGCAAATGATGCTTATGCAGTGGTCAGTGCCTAAAACTTGAACTAAGCCTTGTGATTAAATAGATGATCCACCTTAACACCTACAAGCCATCTTATCTATCCACCAGGCAAAGAGTAAAGGTTGGCTGTCTAGTGCAATGCATTTAACAAAATGATTTCATTAAGTTGTTAAACAAATATATGAGCTCATACAAAGCAAACCTAGATAGACAAACAAAAAGTTCAGCATGATGCCAGGCAGCATTAACCCGCGCCAGGCCGGGGCCGGGGGGCGGGGTGTTTGAACACCCACCCCCTTGCGTTTTTTCCCAGATATCTCAAAAACGGCGCTAACGTATCTTTTCCGCATACACTATGAACATTTCAGACCCAGGTCTCTTAAGGTCAGGTCACCAGGTCACCTCAGTCCTCAAGTGACCTCAAGTGACCCCATCTCAAAAAAAGTTAGAATCCTTGTCATAGCTACACCGACTGAACCATCGCCTTGAAACTTTCAGCGATTGATAAGAGTAACAGTATATACAAAACCAATTTCTCGGAATTTTGATATCGGTGACCTAAGGTCAGGTCAATTTTGCGATCTCTCCATTATAAGTCAATGAGAAAAAATTGAAAGGCGCCTCTTGGGCGCACGTCATACCAAACACTCTTAAGCATCAGGTTACAGGAAAACGTGACAAGCTGGACCGAAAAATGGCACCCTTGACCTCACCTTTTGTCCCTGAGGTCATATCAAAGCACATGAAAGGTCCCCATCAGTTTTTGTTACAATTACTGTTGATAGACTAGAGCACTGAAAACACCTCAAGTGTATTCAGCTCGACGATACGCATCGAATGATATGCAGCATGAACTTTCCCGGTCAGGTCATGACCTTGACCTGAGGTCAAATTTTCAAAATAACCTTTCAAGGTCAAATTATAGTTCATTCGATGCATCTCGACGGGAGTAACACGATGCTGGCAAAATAAATGTCACTTTTTAATCAAAAGTCATTGCAGAAAAACGTTTTCATAAAAACGGCTATTTTTAGAGTTTTTGCCCTTTAGAGGCTTAACTGTTGACCTGAGGTCAAATCTTATGGCATGTTGGCATAAGAGCCTTGAAAGAGCTATCGAATGCGCTTTTCTGCGGCGCTTTAGCTCTATTCGTTCCCGAGTAATGTGCCGCGTTTTCGAGAATTGTTGAAATAGGTAAAACTAGGGTGACCCGCGTGCTCTGCAACCCGAAAAGGGGGTATTTACGATCGGCGGTGTTCGGTTGTTCTTGTGTCGGTTGGGTTATCTATCCATTTCGGTCGATTGCTTTTTGACGGCTAAACGTTTTGGTTTGTGGAAAAAATATCCACCGCATCGAGGTGCCCGTGTCTGATAAGCATGCTTTCCACTTCAGAATCTGTCAAATGTGCTTTATAATTTAGGCGCGTAGTTTTATGACAAATTAAAGGCGTAGATAATTTTCACTAAAAATCGTTTTGCATAGGTTTGAAACATTTATATTTTTAAGAATACTGTTGCTTGTCATGCAAACGTGATGATTGGATCTTGGAGAGAATTGAATGCTCTTTCCAATGATAGCATTTTCAATTGTCAAACGTATCAGGTTAAGCAGCAAAATCCGTGTAATTATTTAGTGGCACATTTTGGACAAATACCATTTAATTCAGCGATTTTTTCCACATTGTTTTTGATCAATTAGCTTTTCACAATTTTTCCATGAGAGACGGTACATTTTTATTGCTAATAGGCGCTGTTTCAACTCATTCCGTCTGACGATCACCTGAAATTAATATAAATTCCAAAATCCGTCCAAAACGTCCATTTTTCAAAAGAAAGTGTCCTCCCCGGTGCACGTGGCGCGTGCCAACCCCTGCACCGCACACCATTCGATAGCCCGTTCGATTCTCTACACGATGCTGTTTTCCCCGTACCGGTCGGGCCCACGGTTACCGAGATATTGCACCGGGACCGGGCCAGTGCCGGGCAAATTTGGCTGTTTTCGCCCGTTTTTGCCAGCCGATTAATACATGTAAAGTCTATGACGCGAATTTGCACTTTTCGGGCACGCGCCACGCGCTCGCTATCGACCCGATCGAGCTGAGACCCCTCAAAGGCACGTTGTCCATCCTTGTTCTATGAGTTGCGCAAACTTCAGCGCGGTAGGTGCAACGGTGTGACCTGTAACCCGCGCTACGTAGCACCATGTCGCGACCTCGGTAACAGACAGAAACTACGTCACCACAAATAGTAGTATAGACTAGGGTGACCCGCGTGCTCCGCAACGCGAAAAGGGGGTATTTACGATCGGCGGGTGTTTGGTTGTTCTTGTGTCGGTTGGGTTATCTATCCATTTCGGTCGATTGTTTTTTGATGGCTAAACGTTTTGGTTTGGAAAAAAGATATCCATCGGATCGAGGTGCCTGTGTCTGATAAGCATGCTTTCTACTTCAGAACCTGTCAATAGTTCAGTGAACCTGTCAAATGTGTTTTATAATTCAGGTGCGTAGTTTTTTGACAAATGAAAGGCGTAGATAATTTTCGCTAAAAATGGATTTGCAGAGGTTTGAAACATTTATATTTTTAAGAATACTGTTGCTTGTCATGCAAACGTGATGATTGGATCTTGGAGAGAATTGAATGCTCTTTCTAATGATAGCATTTTCAATTGTCAAGCGTATCAGGTTAAGCAGCAAATCCCGTGTATCTTTTTAGTGGCACATTATGGACAAATACCATTTTAATTCAGCGATTTTTCCACATTGTTTTTGATCAATTAGCTGTCCACAATTTTTCCATGAGAGGCGGTACATTTCTCTTGGCAATTGACGTTGTTTCAACTCTCTCAGTCTGATGGTCACGGGAAAATAAAATAAAATCCAAAATCCGTTTAAAATGGCACTTTTTGAAATGAAATTGCCCTCACACTTCCACGTGGCGCGTGCCACCCCTGCACCGCACACTATTCGATTGCCCGTTCGATTCTCTACACGATGCTGTTTTCCCCGTGCCGATCGGGCGCACGGCTACCGAGATATTGCACGGGGAACGGACCCGTGTCGGGCAAATTTAGCCATTTTCGCCCGTTTTTGCCAGCCGATTTATACATGTAAAGTCTATGACGCGAATTTGCACTTTTTGGGCACGCGCCACGCGCTCGCTATCGATCCGATCGAGCCGAGACCGCTCAAAGGCACGTTGTCCATCCTTGTTCTATAACTTGCGCAAATTTCAGCGCGGTAGGTGCAACGGTGTGATCTGTAACCCGCGCTACGTAGCACCATGTCGCGACCTTCGTAATAGACAGAAACTACGCCCTCCTCAAATAGTAATATAGATTTGACTTTCAATGACCTCTGGTAATCTGACCTTTGACCTGACCTAAAATATGGATGAAATGTTATCTTCATTATTTTTGACGCTCTTTCGAACGTCGTTTACCGCGTGTCGCTACATGGCCCAGGAGCCGAGTAAGATGGGTGGTGTTCACTGTTCAACCCCCTCCCCCCCCCCACCCCTGGCCCAGCGCGGTTGGCGCCGAGCACCGGCCCGGCGCATTAAGATAAAAAAGTGTGGAATTAATCACAAAAGGATACAGTCCAATCCATCCGAAGCAAATATTTTAGGCAAAGATGGTGTTTTTCCTTTTTTCTTCCTTTTGTTCATCTTCATCAGCGTTGACAAATGCTTTATTTGCTTCTCCTCAGCTTTATTAGCCTCTCGAAGTTGTGCATTTCTTGCCTTTCTTTCAGACACTTTTCTCTTTTCTGCTAGGATTTTCGACTTTTCTGATGCTTCACGAATCTTTTCGACGAGGCTTTTTTCTTGCGGGTGAATTTTTGATGGCATCTCGTCATCCGAAAGTGATTCGTCGTCTTTCTGCGGATGTCTTGGAATGTCTCCAAACATATTGTCTTTTGGCTCTTTGGGTATTTTAGAAGGATGAAGAGGAGCCACTTTCTTGAAACGCTTGAAGTAATGTTCATTCTTTTTCACTTTCTTTTGGATTCTCTGTTCTTTGCGTTTCTCTTTTCTAGTCTTCTTCTTTGACCCAGATACTCCTATTTTCTTTTTACCCATGGTTCAGGTTTTTAAACAAATACAACTCTTAAGTCAGCAGTCTCATAAGACAAACTGTATCTATCACTCCACCATTCTGTAATGAAAACAAAAGGTCAGAAAATGTCTTCAGTTCAGATAAATTTCATGAAGTTCAAATTTAAATATGAAGCTTAACCCTTGCCTTGCATAAGTCCCTTCTTGCAGTTTTGAATGTGTTTCATATTTTAGAATTTTATGTGGCTTTTGTGATGGCAAACTCACATTCAAGATCAAGGAATCAGGAACTGTGGAAGAAATAACCCACAGTACAAATAACAACAAATATGTCAAATATAGATGTCAATCTGACTTAATGAGGTCCTTAAGATAAATCAGCAAACCAACTTTAAAGTTTCCCAGCTCTTCAGGATAACCCAACAAAAGACCAACAGCTAATATTATGGGAGATCACATCAAAATTGGAGGCAACTTAGCCAACTTATGAGAATACTTATGAGGATAAACTAAAATCAGCACACAAAACATCACACTGTTGTCCACCAAAACGCATCTGAGGAAAAAGATCTCAAACTGATCACTTGCGGCAGGAGGAACTGTCATATCAGGCTATCTGGATCCATTAGACATGTTGTCTCCATTTGTACTGATGACTGAGCAGCAGTGCTGGAAATGAGGCCGCTTTCTGGTCCCGGCGTTTTATTCTCCGGGTGGGTTAGCCCCGTCTAGCACTTAGCCTTTCGGGACCCTCTCTGAGCCGCGGTTGTTTTCGCCGCTCAGCCCATTCGAGATGCCAAGTTGATAGTCACACGAAGTTTATTTGGGGCCTTTGAATATACGAATTCGAAATTAATCGAGTCTACAAAACCTTTTTCTTTCATGTATATGCATATATTTAACAGTAACTCCAGACCAGGCTGGCTTGGCTCAGTCGGGGAAACTATGGTAAAATCTGCTATTTTTAGCAGAAATCTGCTAAAAATGGGTACGCATGTGACGTCATCGTACCCAAATATAGCAGATTTGGGTACGGCCCCCGACAAAAGCAGATCTGCACCCTAATTGAAGCAAATGCGCATCAAATGCCTGGCAGATTCATGATAAGAATAGTGCTGAGAATGTCCTCTGATATTTTTGTTCAGATCCGACTATTTTCAAATAATGAATTTGAAAATAGTCGGATCTGAACAAAAATAGCAGAGAACACTCTCAGCACTATTCTCATCATGAATCTGCCAGGCATTTGATGCGCATTTGCTTCAATTAGGGTGCAGATATGCTTTTGTATGGGGCCGTACCCAAATCTGCTATATTTGGGTATGATGACGTCACATGCGTACCCATTTTTAGCAGATTTCTGCTAAAAATAGCAGACTGCTAAAAATAGCAGATTTTACCATAGTTTCCCCGACTGGGCTGGCCCTAAATATGCTTTGTGTAACTATTAATTTTGCATCTCGACTGGGGCGAGCGGCGAAAACAAACGCGACCCTGAGTGGGTCCCGAAAGGCTAAACGCTGGACAGGATTAACCCGCCCGGAGAATAAAACGCCAGGACCAGAAGGCGGCCTCATTTCCAGCACTGAGCTCAGGACACATTCCTTGGTTTATCCATCTTTTCCACTGCATCATTGATATTCCCTCTTTTGGTTAGCTGTACTTTGCTGATTACATAAAATAATCCACTCTCCATATTCATTTTAATTAAGGCAATTTAAGTCAAACTGATTGAATTTAGGAACCCAACTGACATAGTTATTTCATCCCCAAAGTCAATGAAGAACTCAATCACACACTGTCACTAAAGTGGTTCAAGCTGCACACAACCTTTGTGCAGGCTTCACTGTCATGAGACGCAGGCTTCAGTTCACATAGGTAGCTGACGACGAAACCTTTTTACAACACTATCAGCGGTTGAAAGATCAATCATGATGCAAAACGTGATGTAAGCTGAAAACCAAATGATTCATTTATTATAACAATTCAAGTTAAAATGTTACACACACCCAACTATGACTAATCACAGAAAATAAATGTAATCTGAATCTAGCAATTCAAATTAAAATCTCAAGCCCGATGTCCAGAGATATGGCCTAAGGGATTGATGTGTTCTAGTTTCTAAACTACATTATTAAGGATCTCTTCACTCCAATCACCTTATTTTAAAAGTGATATAACATCACTAACATCAAATATAAATATCAATATTGATATAAGGCGTGCAATTCAAATTCGCTCACCAATGCAAACTTTTCCAGACATGTGTAGTGTCACACAGTCACCGGAAATGTATCAAAGCCCGTCTTCCATATCTGCCCCAGTGCTGCCAAATCAGGGAAAAGTTTGCAAGCGAATTTTTCGAAGACCTTTCTCTTGCATTGGCGCCTTTTATCATCAGTTTTTTTTTCCGAATTTCGGAGAACTTCAGTGTAATGTGTAGAACTCCGATCTGAAGCCATTCACCAAACAACTATCGAAATCCGACAGCATAAGCACCTACAGTACGTCGGCTTGTAAGGTAACGCTCCCAGGTCAGGTCAGTCAGGTTCACTTCACTGGGGATTGAAACATGAAACCGGTAACGATTCAATGTTTATTCAAAACAAAACTTAAATGTTATACTAAAAGCAGCGAGCAGCATCGATAACGAACATGCACAAGAACAAATATTCACCGCGTGCTGAAAAGCAGGACCGCAACACAGCGACTGCCATCTGCCGGCGCCGGACCGAACCACAGATTCCCACCTCTGCCGCATGGACCTCCCGTATCACAATGAGCGTCCCGACGAAGCTTTCTTGCGCTTACAAAAACCGACTGAGTATCTTGTACTGTACGCTAGCTGCGCAATACACCGGACAGGGGAAAAGGAGCGGCCGCGGCCGCCCCTCCGCAATATACCGGACAGGGGACGAGGAGCGGCCGCCGCCGTCCCGCCGAGACCGAACTGAACCGAGACTGGCGGCGCGGCGCGGCGGACTCCCGAGCTGCGGGCGCCCGCGCGACCGGCCGAGACAGAACAAAAAGATATTGTACGACACCAATTTCGCTGTGTGTATGTGTGTAGTATGTGGGCGCGTGTGTGGCGGCGCGACTCTGGGCCGAGCGATCACACACGCGCGCGCACTCGGTTGGCAGCTTCGGTAGGCAGTGGCAGCTCCGCACAGCGCGGAGGCGTCTACAATTAACAAGAAACCGAGCATCACGTGCCATCAGGTACTATCGGGCGGGCGGCGGCGGCCCGGCGCGCGCGGCGCCGCCCGCCCAGCCGCGCGCCGCTCTACAGAATACCACCGAGCCAGCGCGCACACCCCCAAAGAGATTTGACACGACACGGCGCGGAGAGCGCGCGCGGGCGCACAGACGGCGGCGGCGGAGCCGGCCGGCCGCGGCCGCAGCGGCCACTGAAACGGGAAGAAGCAGCGAACGCCACGACAGCTGAGAGAGCACACGGACGCGCCCCCGCTCTACTGATCTGTCGGTAGCTTTGTTAATGAGGTAAAATTCAGGTAGTGTTACGGCGGGTATCATCAGTTGACTCCCCATCACAAAAATGTGGCGCGGCCGGCGGCGGGCCGCCACTAACACAGACGACGGCGGCGCGCGGCGCGCGGCGCAGCCCTCCACAGAACATCCACAGCCGGAGGGCGGCCGGCGCACGCGGCGCGGCGCGGCGCGGCGCGGCGCCAGGCGCCCCAAAACCCGGCGCTGGCGGCGCCAGCCAGCGCCGGCACAAATCACCCGCTACGCTCGCTCTCTCTCTCCCTCTCTCGCTCGCGCTCTCGTTCTCTCGCTCTGCCCGAGGCTGCAGTTCGGCGGTCAGCTCCCTTGGGAAGCGACCGCGGCCCGTATCACGCATCCAGGCGGCGACGGCAGCGCCGCCTATAGCCGCGACGGTGGCGCCGCCGGCGGCGGAATGCGGCGCTATTCGCCGACGGTGCTGACGGGAGTTGAGCCGGCCTGCGGCGAGGTGCGGCGGCTGCAGTCCAGGACGGCCGTCTTCTCGTCGTTGGCATCCTGGCGGCAAAACGGACACGGTCAGCGACGTCAGGCCGACGGAAGCTGAGGGAGCCGGGGCACGGCCATCGCCACACACGAGCACACAACAATTGTACACAAACACAGCCGAAACTTGAAGTTGGAAACCATATTGGCTGCTTGCATTGATGAACGGAATAATCGGACCAGCCAGATCCAAAGCGCCTGTCCTACAGCGTTGAAAATCGTCTGCATGAAAACGTCCAACGTAAAAAGTGCCCTACACTGTTCACTCGCACTTTTCGATGGGAACGGCTCTATATATCGACCGTCGCAGGCTGACTGCCATGGATCGTGCTGTGCCGACCGGCGCGGCGGTCCGGTGAGGTGGGTTTTCCCGGCGCCGGAGGCTGGCACTGATCGCCTGTGCCGCCGTCGGAGCCGCCGAGGCAAACAGGAAGCATAGACGTAATAGCCGGCACCCGATTGGACAGTTAGGGTTCGAAATATTGATGGCCGGCAATCGCGAGACTATTCAAATAGGGAATTTTTAATTTCGGTTCCGGAGGGCCTGGTAACACCTCAGTTCGCAATTCCACCTTTCCACTTCCCACAGTTTGCCTCAATGTCTGAAACAGTCGCGATTCCCCGCGCTAACGCCTGGAAACTAACTCTGGGGACGGCGCGCCGTGCCGTGCTGGACGCAGTTAGAAAAGCCGTCCCCGACCACCGCTCGGCAGAGTTCGTGGAATTCCTGCAGAGCGCGATCAGCCGGCCGAGTTTCCTTGCCGTCACCCCATTGGCTGTGTCTTTCCATAGCCGTCGGTCGGGCCGACGCCACGCCGATGACGACACCGACCGAATTCGTTCCGAGAACGACGCCGCTTCAGGAACCCATAACCGTACCGACTGTCATAATGGTCATTCTACACTGGAAGCACTAACATTCAAATGAGGCCCAGCCGGTGAAGTCGGAACAAATGGCGTCGACTAACGGCGCACTGTCGTGCTGGGACACCGCAAATTCGACCAAATTGCACCCGTAATGCGTCCGCCCACCGTCCGGCAATTAAAATATCGCGTGATTTTAAAGCACCTTTAATGAGACGCTTCACGCCTGGAAATACGAAATAACGCGTCCACTGGGCGGCTCCCACCGAGTGATTACTATGATTGCCGGCTGTGATCATTATCTCATTTTTGTAACCGGACTACGGTACCGAGCCAAACGAGCTCCAATGACAATCGGCGCCGTGCCGGCTCACACGCCTGTGGCTGCAGTAATGGGGACAGAGTGGCCATCCATTCCCAAACGGCACACGGCCTGCTCAGCGTGGAACAACAGGCCGTTGCATACGGCAGCGTGTTATGGAGTCGGGCTGTGACACATGCTTCATACAAACGCTGATCACATGACAGGACGTATCACAAACCCATTTTGATAACCTATCCGAAGCTACTGCTCTCTATAGCCATATTAACCCCAGTCCCCTCCCTTTCCCTCCCATCCAGTAACCTGCAGGTGACCTCTACTGACCTCGACCTCTGTGCGCGCCTGTCTGGCGGCGGCGTCCTTCTGTTGGGTGACCATCAGGTCCCGCAGGTGGGCCGTCCGCTCCTCCAGAAGGGTCTGTAACAGGACACACCATCAACCGTCTGAGGTCACAGGTCACACTAGGCCATGGGGCGAGCACAGTCGTGACCTCAAGGTAGCTGTTGGTAAGTAACGGTTTGTTTGGTAAGTGGTATTTGTGTTCCTCGTCACCTACCACTCAGTCAATCAGAGGATAAATTCCCAGGGGGCGTCGTACAGTGTTTTCCGTGGCCTCGCTCTGGGACATCAAAATCTCGTAAAAATCGTCTCCTACTCTCGAGAGCGTAGCCCGGTAGCTGAGCCATCCCAAAAACAGCTCTAAACTCGGCTGGGGCGGCATTTTTCCGATGGCTGGCCTCCATTACTGGCTATCTCGTCTCTCATCTGCTCTTTACGAGGCACCCGTCTCCTGGGACGGTATTCGGGTGTCCACCGAGCGGGTGCTCTCAGACGGCCCCAGAGGGACGGTCCGCCAACTGCAGAGACGGTGTCCATCCCCGACCCTGACACGGTGCGACACTCCGGGAATGGCCGCACGGGAGCACCACAGGATATCAGGAGTATCAGAGGATGTGGGGCACCACAGGATATCAGGAGAGTCCCACCGTGACACCCGGCCCCGGGAGTATATTTCAGACACCCAAGGGTTCCAGATACCCAGGAATGAGCCCTAGACATACAGGGACACTCAAGGGCGTCCCCATACTACCGAGCCGGAGCCCCCAGGACCGACATCGGGACCTCACACTGTAAGTGATCATTCACATTCATTCGCTCATCAAGACATCATCCACACCGTCTCTCTGTGGTGCGGCACTGACCGTTTTCTGTTTGTTCTCTGCCCTCAGCCGGGTGACGGCGTCTGCCAGAGCTCGCACGGTGTCCACCACAGAGACCCGGTCGCCGGCCGGCAGCGGTCCCACCAGCGCGCTGACCCGCGCCACCGCCGAGTCAAGGTTGGACAGGAGCTCGGCAGCGTCGCTGTCCGCCGCCCGCGCCTGGAGGGAGAAGGGGTAGGGTGAGAGGTCAGAGCACATGTGCGACGCGGAGGTCACAGGCATACGCTCACAGACACACACACAGATACAGAGTGTTGGCTAGGTTACTGGAACTAGCATCGTCGGTACAAATCAAAGGTCATGCTCATGGCGTGGGGTCAAAGTGAGGGTATGCTCGAGGGATGTGTGTTCAGTGGCAGAGCGTCACAAAGTCTGTGTGTAATGCAGGGTCGCCCGAGCCGTTGTCAGCTCAGCTGGTTACTAGTCAAGCTAATCTGATGTCACCTTTCATCATCTAAACCCCTCGGCAGTGCACACAAAGTTAATGACCACAGCGGATGGTATCGCTCACTGTTTGTTTACCGGTCCGTGTATTTACAGCCCTAGCCCGTCCTCTGGTGTCAATGGCCGCACCCCGGCGCGGCCCCGACATTCCCACCGTCTCACCATTCACACATATTGATCCGAGCGACAGCAACTTGTCAGCCGGCGCGGCGGCG